AAGGCAGATCAATATCGACGTATTCACAACCGCAAGAACCTCGAATCGCACAGCAGTGAGGTTATTCATCTTGTTGTACAAAAACCAGGCCTTTAAAGTTTACGGGGAATTTATGTAAAATTTGTAATCGTCATTCGGATGTTGAGTTTCCGCAGGTTCATTGACGAAGTCTGTTTTATGGAAGTTTCTGCAGGTGACTGATTCATAGAAAATCCTCCGAGAAGCTAAAATGTTCTTGTCATTCTGTAGAGTGATTAGAACTCGTGCATCGTATTCGGGAGGTTTTGGGTTCGCTAGAGACCGGCTATTTCGAGTTTCTTCCTCTTCAGTAAACCTACATTTGGGAAAATGTCATCTTTTTCCGTTTGATTCACAATGAATTGGCGTACCACATAGAGTTAAAAAGAGCGTTTAAATGGGGAATCTTTATAATCGCCTACAGGCCTACCTCATTGGAATCCCATACATGAATGTGATACGCTTATCATTTGAGTGTGTGGTGAAATCCAACCGTTTCGATTCATGTTGTTTTATAGAGAGGCGAAAATGAAACAGTGAGGTAAAAGGGATTATAATGAAATAAAATAATAGAGACCAGGCAAAGGAAATGCAATAACGCGGTTGTGACGATGGAAGTGGGGAAAAGAGTAAAGGGGAAGGTTGCAGTCTGCGGGGGATAATAAAGAAAAAAGTCTAGAAAAGTAACTTTCATCCTTCTGCGGCACCTTCACTGGGTTTTTCTTCGTGGTATGGGCAGTCACAAGCAGGACAATTAAATTATTGCTTACTCGGCACCTCGGACGTGACGTCATGAAGATATGAGACGAGGAAAGGCTGTAACTGCTGGGGTCACCGTCCGCAGTTGTTTAAATTGGAATTCAAAAATATTTATCCTCATCAACACGATGTAAATAAACGACAAATAACGCCATGGCATTAGAACCTGGAGGTCCAAAGCCGCGAATAACAAAGCACAACATGAACATGATACTAAGGCAGTTCATTCAACCTCTCTGAGATCCATATTATTATCATCCTGTCAACTTCTTTATAATGCAAGGGGAAATTTTCGAACGGTTTTCCCTACCAAGATTCTGTACGCATTCCTTATGTTCCTCATCTACATAGCCGGCTTCCTGGACTTCTGTCCCTAACGACAGACCTACTATATAATTACGGACTTTATTTACAAAGGTAACATGATACAGGCCTATTTTATTTAGGTACGTTACTTGATGTTTAGACGTTCTGACTTTTACGTATGTTACTAGATGTTTATATATTTACTTTCGGAATTTATTGCCCTGTGGCATTATGTTAGGGTCATGTAAATATTTGAAAATTACGTTCCTATCTCAGAACACATCGCGTCTCGATTAAAAGGATCAATCATTTTTAAAATAAATTATTGCTGTTTATTCTGATAATCATATGAAAACCATAAACAGTACAGAAGTATTCTGACCTTATACACGTGCTCAGAAAAAAGGTGGTCTTCTTCTTTACGGATGACTTCGAAATTTTTGAATGATGTTATCGACTGTCGAAATCTAGAGCAGGGGGCCATAAAACGTCACAATTTAAGTTACTGTTTCATTACCTTGAAGACGCCCTATGCAGTTCGTTAGGTTTAAGAAATCGTAAGGAATGCAGCAGCTTGGATTCGTGCTGTTGTCGTCTGTAGTACCTGACATTAGACTGCAACTTAAAGAGGTAAATGCGGTTCAGTAACCCTTTGATATCGTACGTTCCAAATATTTAACGTGGCAGGGGTTTCATTTCATAGTCACTGTGAAGAACATTTTCTCGTAAATTTTATTTAGTTAGTCGCCTCAGATATGTGCCGATATGATGAAATCGTGATTGCAGAGGAAAATAAAGTATTCGTCTATAAGTCAAGGGCATTTGATTAATTAGGAATGTTGATAGTAGCTGTCATTTCCTTACGCTAATTCTCATTATCAGTTGTTCAACATTGAATATAACCATTTTAAACATTAGAGTATGAAGCAACTCTTCGTTAACTGCCACAGAATTTTCGCTGAAAATGAGGCTTGGAATTAATTACATATATCAGGTTTAATGACTTAGCCACTTACCTTTAAGTGTAATTACGTAAGATCCTTATATTATGCCGCATAAAATAGATGGAGTATGCCAAGAAGGAGCGGAAGACACGTGTTCAGCTTCTTGACACAGATTGCAAGAATTTCGATAGTTCACATCGATCATTCACATTATGTATTCTTCTGAGAAATACTTTGTAGAACAATGGATTTACATTCCGTAAACTTATAACTACTCTTCACTTGCTTTACACACATAGCATCTTTTAAACTATCTTTCTCAGCAAAGATGGCTGTCTCCTGGAATCTGGTACATATTGACCGACTTTTTGGAGGAACTTTCTGCCTCCATCTACAAGGTGATGAGTGGCTTATGAACCTGATGATGGATGCAGCACGTTCGTTTGAATCTTCGGTCAGTTTCTATCAGACTACATTGCGCAGCATTCCAGAAGACATCCACCTTCAAACTCGTCGTCTTGAAAGCCTTAAATCTCATCTAGCGAGATTATTGCTTCGCCATTTGACACAAATGCTGTAAAACGAGACGTGCACTGACCACTTCAAAACACTTGAAACACAATGCTTCGATCACTTCTTTTCGGCATGTGAAGGTAGAATTTTCCCGACTATCTTGGGAATTACATTACTTAAGATACGAATTCCTTTCAACTTCTTTCTTCGTGAATTAATAGCTATTATCTGAAATACCGAGACAGAAAGGATTCCAATTAAAAATTAACGATAGCTCAGACTTAACTGGTAGGAATCTTTCACCACACAGCCAATCCCACATCGGAGAGCGCCAACACTACTGATGCAACTTCGGAGCGTAGACTTCAACTCTTTTTACCTTCTGCGCTGAAAAAAGGATTAAAGGATTTTTAAAACTTTCTACTCTATTGTAGTGTCACAAACTTCGCCCAGAGAATCGCTTACAGGTATTTTAGAAAGTTGAATCCTTTAATTTTTTTTAAGCTTCAGCTGAACAGAAATTTTAGTGAGTTTTGACAAAGACTTTATTGTGGGTGTGAAAGGGTCAGAGAGTTGTAAAATTTGGAAGAGGAGTTATATTCTTATATTAAGAATCGTAAAAGAATCTGCCGGACGCTTGGTTACGCTTAATAGGAGTAAAAGGAGAGGCAGTGGAGGGAAAGTGTTAAGCTGAAAGATTTCGCCAATCTTTCCTTCTTCTTTGTCTCGTTTCTCAGGCAAATACACCAGTTTCGTGTAGGACTATATTTACTGTAACTTCAAAATATCGATTCAGACTGATGTGTTCTTAGCTGGTTTAATGATAAAGTTTCAATTATGGAAACTGAATTAGATGACGAATATTAAATAATATTGAGATAACTGGCCGTGGCATATTTAACGTAATATTTCTGTTCTCGGATTAAGTGAAAGCATTTCCGGTAACCCGATTGAAGACAAGAAGGTTTCTAGCATCGCTGGAACAACAATTTGTCTTGTTGCATGTTTAGAACTTGACATTTTTGTTATAATAGTCTACTTAGGCTAAGCACAATAACGAAATGTTCATGAATATGTAGTTTAATGAAGTTATATAAGCAATTTAACATACTTTGGCATGTCACAGTTTTCTTTAATTTCGGGCTACAGACAATTCATAATCATCTTCAGTTCCATATGTAGGGACTGTAAAACTGTAAGAACAATTTTGTACTGCACTGTCTTTCTAGACCGAAAATGTTTTTGATTTAAATAATTTAATTCCTATGTTTAGAATCATACGAAGTAACCGTTAAAAATCATTTCGAAATTCCTTTAATTGATGGAACACGTGAATACTGAGCAAGGCAATGTTTACCAGCATTCCATGTATAACTTTTAACTTTTCTATGTCTTGGCAAGAAACTTAAAGATTAACATTTCCAGAGCTATAATTTTGCCACTGAATATCGCGGTCCAGTGGTTAGCATTTGGTCTCGGTGCTCATGTACCGGGTTCGTTTATCGGTTCGGAGACCGGCTAACATGACTTGGTTTTTTCCTGATTTTCCAAGGTTCCTTCAGACAAATATAGTAATAATATACTGAATTAGGACACGTCGACTTTCATACGCATGTTTTCCAATTTATGTAATAATAATCCTGCAATTTGGCTTTACTGTCTTATAGGATAATTTGAGAATTGAAATCGTAATTAAATAAACGAGAAGTAGATACAGCAAATAATATGCGAGACTAAAGGGAAATTGATTAAAGGTGTTTTGAGAGGACTGTACCAAGACCTAACTGGAAGGAAAAAGAGGAGAATTGAAAATGTGTAGTGTCTTAAATTGTGTACATAAAAATGTATTATTACGGTGATAAATAAAGGGGGGTAGGATGGGCGGTAACATGCAGCATGAACAAGCCTACGTGAGAAACGTACAAATTTTTAATAAGTAATGCACCACGTATCATAAATGAAAAGACGGTTTTGGCATGGACCTCAAATGGGCAGTTTGTGAGGGCGTAGACCCTTTGTACGGTTCCGTGTCGGGCTCTTATGAACACTGAAATGAAATTTCGAGTTCTGTAAACGGCGGGTTATTGTTTAATCTGCTGAGCGGTTGTCAACTTCTCAGATCGACTCTTTTTCATGGCGTTAGACTGAGATAATATTTGGGTTGTCTTCGTATCATGAACTTCCCTTTGTTGTTTGCGGGTATAGACCTATAGAGTTTCCTGGTGAATGAAAATTCTCTTTTTAAGACAATGTCCAATAGATCTGTGTTTATCTTTCTCAGTCTGTGAATTTCGTTTCAATTTGGGCATATTTGGTTCATGATATTTTGTTCTTATTTATTTAGTTCAGCATGTACACGCTATTTGTCTGTAATAAAGCAGAATAAATACGATATAAATTTGAAATATGGTTGTATATTTTATTTTTTATCATTGGTTTCTAATAAAGAATTTCGAAGTAATATAAAGTTAACGGACAGGGTGAAATATTATTTTATCAGAATCGGTTTGGATTACACTTACCTGCAGAAACACTTATTAAAACTGACTTTGTCAGTTGATCTATGCACCGTTAACAAGGTATAAGTAAATTTTCTGTTTTACTATGTGCACGATACAAGCATTTTAATGTAGTGGTTATAGAAACAAATACATTTTTAATCTGATAAATGAGATTGTATGTACGATCGTTGTCAGCAACACAAGCCTGCAGCATGGCATTCTGTTGTACGGTTTCAGTTCACGTAGGATTGCCTTTTCACGCTACTTAAACACGGCCGTTGCCTTGCTTATCTTTCGTTTTACGAGAGGTTAACAGAATGAGTACTGGTTATTCTTGTTGTAGTGTTATGTAAATTATATCAGCATTGGCATTTATGTGATCCATTATCTTCCCTCAAGAAATCGCTGTCCCTTAACATTACAAAAAAGAAAATAACCTAAGAGATTACACGTAGACCTTATGTGAGAGAAACTTGAATGTGTGTAAACTAAGAAGTAGGTTAATCCTGGGTATTAGTGTAGCCACATTGGTTTTGTTGTGGTAGGGAGTTTATTTTCTATTTAATCTGCAGTCACTATTCAGTTGTTTCAATTATTTGCAGGGCGAACTTCTAGGAGTGACGCGTGGACCAACATTAACAGGTAGGACCAGCTTACTGGAATATTTCCGCATAGATTTGTGTGAATATGAAGGTTTCAATAACTGTTGTATTGGTTACAAATAATGATTTTGTTGGGATAAACAATTTAAATTTTTAAACCGTTCGTAAGTACATAAATGCGCATGCAGCAAGCCAGAATATCCAAATTTATCCTCCCCTCACCTATTTTAATTAGAGCTTGGGAGTTAAGATAAATTAATATCGCCGTTTTACGGCAACTCACGCGATATATGTCTACCTGTTATAGGCATATAATTTTAAAGGCGCAGGTAAAAACCTGGGGTGAAGGATGTATTGTGAAGATGGTAATTGTTTTATAGTTATTTATAGCTGTCTGTGAAGTATGTCTTATCTCCTACCATGAAGTATGTAATATTTAACTTAATATTCGGGCTGGGTTAAATCTGAAAAGTGTGAATTAAATTTGCGCCTTTTCTTTCAAAGTTAAAGAAATATAGATATGCTGTTTTAAAGGGAATCACAACCAGTTCCCGTACAAAAAACAAAAATTCCTGTACATTTGCAAGATTGTCAGAGTAAGTAGGTACGTGTGAATGAGGACGTGGTTCTTCATCGGACAGTAACTGCAGTTCCGTACACATTTAAGCAAGATTACTGAATATTTCGCATTGTTTAAAAATATTGTTACGAAACTTAGTCCTTGAAATTGTGTTCAATTCAAAACGCCATCGAAATTCACCGACCAAATACAGTGGCGAAATTTTAAATTCTAGCTGCAGAAAAGATGCTGATTTTGTTCTTTCTGACATATTTACTGCCTTAGTTTGGTTTTGGGAAATAATTCCCCATAGGCCTACAGTAGAAGACAGATGACGTGGCATACTCTGTTCCAATCGTCGTGTACTTGAAGTTTTATAAAGATTAATGTCTTCTGTTTCTCACATCATCGAAATAAAGAGTGTGTTCGGATCTACGTCACTCTTGTCCCTCGGACCCAAATCCTCCACCGTCTACACTAATGAGGAATAATGGCTCCATCAAGACAATAGCTTCGTTATGTTGTATCTCCGTGTGCCGAGAGGATGAGCTGAAACTGCCTCCATCAGATTGCAACACCTGCGAATAAAGACATAGGCCTAGCTGAAATAATTCCCAGAAACCTTTTAAATGGTTGCATTGAGTTCGTTCTCGGGTAGATGCCAACTCTTGGGAACTGCAAACACGTGAAAGAAACGTTGTTTTGAAACCACAGGAACCCACTTGTATGTTAAAGAGATGGCAGCAAAGGGAGAGGAGGGGAAATTTAGACGTAACTGAAGTTTCATATTAATAATTGCAGACAGTTGGTTCTGTGTACCGGTCATTAAAATATCTGTGTTTTTGATTGATGTATAATAATGTAGTTGGTTCCTGAAAATAACTAATTGCTTTAGGATGTGAATTTCTTCCAGCTTTTTATCATGTATCCCTTCTTATGTCTAAATATTCTCCTTAGAATCCTTTTCTCAGACACCCTTAATCTATGTTTATTCTTTAAGTTAACGTTTTCGAAGTCTTAGATCCTGTGTAACGTTTCGGAATATGGACAATTTTATGGCGAAGAAGTGTTATAAAAGTCGGGATCGAGCTTCCATTTCACCTATGACACTATCGTTTGGGTACCTCCGGGATATAATGTGAACAGTCGGCCTATATCCTTCCTTATTTGCTACTCCTCCCAACTCCTCTGATCCTCTTGCTTTTTTCTTCTAACGGACGTGGAACGCACAGATTCGTCCCGACAGATGCACTTACATTGAAACGAAACCGACTATCCTGAACACAGAACAAACATTTCGTTCAGTGTTCACTGCACGTTAAACTACTTCCACATTAAATGTAACAGCTTGGTTCTAGAACGGCTTAATTTTCCTTTATAAGGAATTACCGAAAGGCTTATCTACCCTGTTCTGAATAGGAAGAAAATGGGAGAGTTTTCATGAGAATAAGCTGTGAGGAAAGTGGGGGGGGGGGATCTTCCCGCATCTTATTCTTTCCCTGACCCCATGGTGTTAATAACCATCAGCAAATACCATTACAGAACAAGAAAATGTAGTCAATATCTCAACATCCAGCCCTCCCTTCTAGAGCCATAGGCATTTCTTCTTCTTCTTCTTCTTCTGTATGGGGGCTGAGAATTTCTGAGAAGGAAATAAGTAAATTACTCTGATGGGCTCGTGTCCCTTCAAGCAGCGCGCTGTTGTACTCCCAGATTCTGAGTTCCGACAGTGGCCAAGTGACAGCCATGCGACCGCCATTAGTGACCATTGAATGAGGCTCTTCATGCCTTGGCTTGTTTATTTATCTGGAATAGAAGAAAATGACGGTCTTAAGTTTCTGTCTGAGGGTCTAATCTTTTGTTGTTTTTGTGTTAAAACTAGGCTACCTGTATTTGCTAGACTACATTTCATTATCTCAGTCTTATTTTCTTCGGTTAGAAGTTTCATGACAATTTGAATGTTCTGTTTATATTCTTACTGTTTAATGTTGCCTGATTTTTATCATTTAAAGACTATTTAGATCGTTCACAGTAGCTGCGCTGTCTGGAGCTTGGTTCTAAATCCCACTCAAGGCATGAATATCTGTTTTGCTGCTTTCTGCGTTGTGTAGGCGGAGAACCTTTGACGAGCTGAACACTCGTCCAAGGTAAAAACAAAGTAAGGCAGTCCCACTATATGCCATGTAGGCGCTTGGGGGGGGGATATAGCTCCTACTCATTCTTGACCTCGGCACTAGATGGGGCTGAGTGGTCAGCATCACGCCCCGGCCGGCTTTACCCCCGGTACCCATTGTAGAGGAGGCTGGGTGGGCCCCAGAACCGGTCTGGACGCAGAGGCTAGATGAAAAATCCTCTTCCCCCCGTCGGGGATCGAACCCCGGTTGTCAGTCCATAGCCAGTCAATTCGTCCAAGGAATCTTAAGAAATATCTGACTAGTTTAAGATACTTCCCACATATGAGGCGTCAGAAGTTCTGTAAAGACTGTAGAACCGCATAGTAAGTATAGACTATTTACAATATACCTTAAGATTCATATTCAGATTCAAACCTTTTTTTGTTAATATATTGAACTGGGAAGCGTTCCTCTGTGATGTGTAGTGTGTGACGTACATGCACAGAAAAGTACAAATGTTATTTATAAGTGGCACGTTCTTCCTCCGTTTATCACACACAATGTAGGTATGTGAGAATTGGAGGTAAGGCTTATCACATTCTTAACCTTTGCATTAAATGGAGTGAGTACTGGTCAACCTCTGGGTACCATTGGATATACAAAAGTAATACTAAGTATTAATATTACAGTCGTGGTTTTGTAGCCGAACGACCTTGCTGAACGTTCGGTAACTAGCTACCATTCAGTCGTCTTACAAGAGGCTTATATAATCAGCAAGATAAATAATAATAGATAACTTTCCGGACAACATTATTATTTAAGGCAGGTTGGGCCAACCCAAATGATCTTTCGGGCCACTTTGGAAATGCATCATAACTCCGCGGGCCACATATAAAATTATATATCCCCATATTAGATTTAGATACACTATAGACATTTTTTTGGAGTGAAAAATTGAAACATAATGAGTTATTATTATTGTGTTTACTATTATTCTTACATGTAAACATAGACAACACACTGTTTGCCGAGATAGGCTTAGGTTCGAAAACAGTTTACTTTTATCAGGTAAAATATCCTTCACAACAGCTTCCAAACATTCTGTCACAAATTTACCATCCGAAAATGTTTTCATTTTTTTTACAATCACAACGGTTGGCATCCCTGATTTAAGGCTTCGTGAATCATATTTGCAAGTTTAATAATGAGAATAAGGTTGTCTTCTATACTGTTGCGACGTGTAGAAGTTTATCGAAGTTTTAGTCGTACTTGCTGTCATCATCATTATCATCATCAGGGCGAACGGACCTCTGAAACGTCGATAAGATTCTACGAGACTGCTAGGCGCAAAAGATCAGAAGCCTGTCTTCTTCATTATTGCTGCCATAAGAAGCCGAATTTCATTTATTAATAAATTCGGACCATATCATCGACTCAAAACTGTCCCTGTGCAATCAGCTGTCCAATGCCACTATTTCATTTGAAGGCGTAACGACGTTATACGTCTGTATTGTTAAACGTTCGTCGCCTTGATGTTCATCTGTTTGTTTATACTATGCATATTCAGCGTGTGTGTGTGCTCGCGAGAGAGCGAGCGAGCGCGCGTTGGTTTAATTCATGTGCCCGGAAGTGCTCCACCTAAATTTAGATAGACAGCGCACACTACGGGCCATATGATTCGTAACTTACAATTGAATTCAGGTCATGCGCACACGTGAATTGAGTGTCATGACGTGCGCTGTTTGATTACCTTTTTATAATTCATAGCCAACTTTTACACATATCGTAACCTTCACTGTGTGGTCTCTATTGTTTGTTAAAGTTGATGATGCCATTTTGTCACTATTTGATGAAGTTCTTTTCGAGTGTCAGATTGGTCATGTCAGTTACTGGCAGACAGATTTCGCAGTACAGCAAAGCAGGGTTTTAAAATCACTGGATTAGGCATGTACAGTTACAATTACCCATCTGGACGATTGGATTTTCGTGATTAAACTAAGGTTTATGTGAAAAAGTGTATATTACTAATGTTACGATATTAAAAGATATGTTTACGACGCTAGTGCATAATGGTTACGACCAGTGTGATGTCTTGAATGCTGTAAACATTCTTCAAATAATTCATCGACAAACAATTACTTGAACCACTCCCTTCTATTGAATTACACAATGGTCAGTCTGCGCATTAAAACTAACACACTGAATAACAAGTGACGGCCAACCTTGATCTGGTGATGTTCATTTGTTGTAGAAACTTCGCACGGCAACTTTCCTCGTCGCTTTGTATTTGTATCATGACAAATTATTTGTTTTGGATATGCAACTACTTTGAGGCTGTAAGCACGTGCTGCAACCTATCATTGGAGCTCAAAAGCTCTGTGTGTAAAGTAGCGACTGTAAAACAGAGAAGATGCTGATCATATTTTGCATGTCTATTGAATACGGCCGAATATGAATTTCGTGTAGCTATTTGATCCTCGGGGCTTGCCGCGGGACTAATCTTACACAATGAACATGCCAGTAGGCCTATAATGTCAGCAGGTAGGCCTATTGACCAGACAAAGGCGTTTCCAGTTGCAATAAATTTACACACGACTGCGTAAATCGTTTCGGATCGTAATGTTGGGACCTTTTGAATATTTTGCTACACCTTAACCACTAGACGAAATGTGCAGTATACTGACCTGGTATTCAATGGTCCCGAGATCAAACTGAACCATCGCCACTATTCTTGAAATGACAGTAATAAGCCTGTCAGTATGGTGACAACCAGTTACCTGAGGACGGAAGTAATCCAACTCGTCCGAAACGTTTTGTTAGTTTATATAAAATATGTATCACACAGTGGGCATGTTCAGCAGATATACTCGTAATGCTTAAGGGCGATCAGTCAAGCACTGTTACAAGTCCTTAAAAAAATCATTAGTAATATTGCGCACTTCTTAAAGAATTTAATTGGGTTAGGCCGTGTTTTTGTGATGCGAATACGGGATTTGATTATCTGATCTTTGTGATACTTGAGATTTTCACCGTGGTAAAATTATGGATTTTGGTATTCATACGCCATGTAGCCTTGTGGGCTGCCAGAGTTTTGGAAGTACCTACCTATCTGAAAATGGCGACGACATTAAATAGGTTGTGTCCATCTTGACTGAATTCATCTGGATCTTTGTGGTATTTAGTAGCGGACTGTTGTTTACACGGTAATGAAATATGTCCCTAGGAGCCGGGGACTTTCTTGAAGACTGAGGTATTATTAGCTTATCAAAATCAAATGCTGTCCAAGTAGTTAGGTGGTTGGCCTAAGTGATTTATACATATTTAATCATTTTCATCGCTACCAAAGTCATTGCGCAGTTAAGAGATTTCAAATCTTTAAGGAACATCGCTACGTTTAAGTGTGGTACAGTTCTTCTCACGACAGTGTGTGTTAGCTTACGCCTAACATCCGTGCTAGAGGACTATCGCTAATCTGTTTTCTTCGACTGCGTGCACATCAACCCTCTGTGAACTGTGGCAAAGGATCCACTTGGCAGAACACTTTCGCACTAATCGGGTAAGTTTTATGTGTAGAAAGATGCGATGCGATGCTTTTAGGATTTTATTTATTGACTTGTGAACTGTAATTCTGTTTTGATAACAAAGGCAGAACTTTTCAAAGTTAAGTAGGCCTGACACAAAGACTGCAGTAACAGTTCGCGTCCCCACTAACTTTTCATGTTTTACTACCAACACATAGGCCTATCTGCAATTGAATTTGTAATTTGATAACCTTAGCGAAGTGTGTAACAGTTGTTTTGAGTTGGCTACGTGTTTTCTTGAAAGTCGCACGTGCCGTGATCGTCGTAAATTTTGGTCGGTTTACATCATGATTAATATACGAATACCAAACATTATTCTATCGTACTTACTTGAGTTTAAATAAAGTTGTATACGTACAATTCTCATAAAACATTTTTTTCACGAATGCTCAAGTTAATATAGAGTGAACACTCTAGACCAATGTTAAGTAATTTTTCACCCGCGGCACGCCCTAATTTGTCAAAGACACTTGACAGCATACCACGGGCAGTTATGTTGGACGTTGACCATTATCAAATTTGTATGGACGACGTTTCGAGTTTCGGCTATACTGCCGTCTTCAAATGGTTATCATTATACCGACAAAATTTTATCATACCTTATTTCGATATTAGTGGTAACAGTTGGTATCGAACACGGGACCATTTGATTATTTGGCTAGTACGTTAACCATTAGACCATCGGGAAGTTTAGGGTATACAGCCGACACCCGAAACGTCGTCTGAATCAACTCTGTTTTAGGCAATAGGCTATGTTAATTACGGTATCTTCACAACAAATTAATCGCTGTCACAAAACCTTAAAGTATGAAATTGTATTTAAGACAGGCAGGTTTTTGCTGACATGCTTTTACAATGTTTCGTCTTTCATAACCATATATTAAACATGTAGGCCTAATAAATGTTTTCATATATTAAACATGTAGGCCTAATAAATAAACGACAGACATTTTCAGGAACATGTTAAATTATAAACAACAGTAGTATTCAGAGTAGCTTACAACAAAACACACGAAGACTAAACCTTGAGCTGCATTTGGTTTAGTCGGAGAACTGTCAGCCAGGTTCATCAACTTGTGTACACATGCACGCACGCACGCTCGCTCACTCACTCACTCACTCACTCCCTCCCTCCCTCCCTCCCTCTACCCAGGGTATTGAAACGACTACTATAGATGCTGGAATTAAACGTCTCTTAAATATTTTCCTCAAATATAGGCTATATGAAAGACCTGTAATCCTTGGAAGCTGAACATCGGCTGAATAATATTTTCAAATTTGGTAATTATAAAATGGCATATAACATATACACACAAATGAATTCAATTAGGTCTCTTTTATAAATTGAATTCAGCATCAGAATCGTTAAAACATAGGATAAACCTTTTGATTAAATGAATTAATTTCCCAGATGCCACTGATGATGACCTCTTGAGGTTGAAACGCGTATGGCAATAGTGCCTTTTTTATAGTGTTAATAGCTTGTTTGTTTACTTATTTTATATGTTTAGACCTACGTTTAAATAATCTGGTACACTTGCTTGAACTACTGTTACAGTTTTCATAACATAAGTACAAAGCTTGTGCAGATATTTCTACAAACGGTGCACCTAAAACTACAGATCTAATGTGTTCTAAGGCTGCGATAATCACCTAACGTGCATTTTAAAATTTACGATTTGAGGTATTGAAGGCGGTGGGTTTGAAGATGGCTGGCTGCCTTCTGGGTTATGGCGCCATGATGGTGAAGGCAACAAGGACCTCTGAAACGTCGGTAAACTTCTACCAGATAATATGGCGCAACAACCCAGAAGACAGCCACCTTCAATTTAAAATTGTCATCTGGTATAATTTTGTTTTTATGAACCCAGAGTCTTCACATAAGTGTAACATTTTCAAAAACTCTGCTTCACGTTTGAGACAAAACGACTAATTTTAATTCAGATAAATTAATGTGTTAATTTTCTATGTATTTGTATGTCGAAATGGTTGATATGCAATGTAGAATAAGGAGTTTACTTAGGTATGAGAATGGTATGGATAGATATATGCCCCTGACTCAACTGAAATTTAAATTGCGTCTGTTCCCATAACGTGTACACTTTCAGGACTTGGAACATTCTTATTTGTCTGTTGAATCCACTGTGACTTCATGGGGAAGATGAGAAATCCATACTAAGCTTCATTCCGAAAATCTTAAGGAAAACCTTGGCTAGTCTGTAGAATGAAGAGCGGGTAATTTCTGGGACAGTCTAGTGACTGTCAGCTTCTCAACAAAGTCAGAAGGCAAAACAAACAATCCACAGAAAGACTGAGGATTGGGGCTGTTAGTTTGATAAGTGTGATACCAATCCACGGCCCCATGCTCTGCTGTAGAACTTCATCGCTGATACTGCGATCGGTGGGCCTAGCACACAAAGTACGAAGGAGCAGGCAGTACAGGTCAGAGCCTGTAGAGGACTCTTCTTCGTTGGTGGGCTGTGGCCTGAGAAGGAGAGAACATACAAGAGAAGGTGGAACACAGCAGCGCACAAGTCGTTTGCGTCAGAAAATATCAAAAATTTATACTAGCACTCTTTCAGATTATTTAATGTTGCGTGGCTAATGTCGGAAAAGCGCGGCGGAGCTAGGACTGGCAGCATTTTATTTTAATGCGAGAGATCTTGAAGGAAAGAGGAGGGGGATATAGAAAGGGGAAATGTAAAGAAGAGAAAAATGAAAAAAGGAAACAAAGAGGAGATTCTGGGTAGGCCCTAGGATGTATTGTGTTCAACTGAAAATTCCGCATTCATTTTTCGTCATATTCAGTTCGTGGAAGTGAAATGTTTACTGAATAATCTCAATGTAAGTGAAAATATGAATGCACTAATAAACGTTCGATTCTATAAAAGGATTTTAATTTCTTGACTAGATCAGCGAATTTTGTCTTTTCAAGGAGTGTTCTCTGTGCAGTTTGTGATTTGTACCTATAAGACATTTTAAAATATGCTATTTGTTTAAGACACGAATGGCTAAGAGAATAATGTTTGTCCTTTATTTCTTTTTAATTTTGTCTATCGTCTGTTAAATGTTTTTAAAGGTCTTAAAAATCGCAACGTCTCGAAGGATGGATCTTCCTTTGGCGTCAGGCAGGAGGATGACATCCATCCACTCTGTTCGATCCGGTGGACCGAGTTCCGAAGATCCATCCTTCAAAATGTTACATTTTAAGACTTATGGAGAAAACTTTCAACAGATGTCAAAGTAGAAAATTAAGTTATTACTAATACTACCATCACCAGATAAGAACTGTGTTTTTTGAATAAAATTTGATGTATCCTGTAGTACATTTTTAAATTTTTTTTCTTCGAAATTACAAATCGGTTGTAAGCCTGAATTTTTTTCGCAGATGAAGCTTTATTAAAATTAACTTATTTATGAAGAGTTAAAATTATTGTTATTATTTGCTTATTGTGTTGTGCTGTATCCGTAATGGTCTTCTGACTGTTTGTTACAGAACATTAATAATACAGAACTGAAGTTTTCTCATTCCGTGACTGTACATGCAAGATGGAAAAATATTGATATGGAAACCGTAGTGTGAGAGAAAGAGAGAGAGACAAAGAGACAGAAACAAGAAACTGATATACGAGTTCTCTTTGTAATGGTCTTCGAATAGAAAACTTTCATGACACTTTTTACTCATACACTTTATGTTCTTAGCCTTGTGATAGGTAAACATAATTCTTTGGTAGTAATAACAGATATTTGTTTTGAAACTGTAGAGTTACATTGTTTAATATCATTGCCTTTGTTTTAGTACTTGTGTGAACAAAAAAGGAAAGGAACTCCAACTTTCTGTATATTTTACGAGATAAACAATGCAATTTATCCTTCATGAGACTTGTAAATTAATATAAATTCACCTCACATTTATGGAAACACTTTAACGCACCTTTGTCATAAATATCCGTGGATGAAAGCGACATTGTGATTTTAATTATGATATTGGCAAAACATTTTGTGCTGTAGGTGTAAAATTCTGTCAGCTAATAAGTTTAAATAGTTCCGGGAGAAACACATAATGCGGACTTTTCCATGGTTTTACCAGAGTTACTAATAGAACTCATATCTGCTTACCTTGGATGTTTAATTTAGGTAATGAAAGTTTATGAGCCTACTGAAATAATAAAATGCTATTTAGCATGTGTTAGCGTGCTGGGCTTGTTAGCAGATGGTCCTTGAAGAGAATTATGTTGCAATCGATAATTCCTTTATTACATGTAATTGAAACTGTAGTGAATATTATTATTATTGTTGTTGTTTTCATCATAATTATCTCTGTGGGAAGAAGTTTTCAAGAACAGATTTTGACATGTTGAAACCTCAAGGATTTCCCCTTGTCGCCATGTTGAAATTATTAAACTGTAAACAATGTTTTATACAAGGGATTGTGCCCTTGCTCGCTTCTCTCGCCAACCTCGTCGTGGCCCATCGTTCCCACCCTTCCCTTGTTTTCCTTCCCATTTTTACCTACCTTCCTCAAATCTTCTTTGTTTTCATCCTTATTTTAAGCATTCACAGACGAATCATGAGGGAATGAACAACAGTTATGGTCGCTATGTCCTCTTAAACTTTAAATACTAGCGCGCCACAGTGTTCACACTCTACATACCTATTAAAAAATCTCTTTTTTTGAAACTGTTTCCTCCAGCATACCCAATAACTTGCACTGTCGTTGTTTTCCTAAAATTTCCCCTTGCTTCAGTTACCACTAAATTACTTATCTATTCATATTATCTGCCCTTCTACTGCCCTTCCTCTTTCTTCAAAGGGTAACAGGCACTTGACGAGATAGATTTGATATTAAGGCAAATTTTAGATGGGGCCCTTCGTCGAATGAATGATTTTAGTTAAGTATGGATGTACTATATGCAACGACAATGCGTAAGCAACTGTCTGTTACTGGCTTCTGGGTGGAACTGCATGGCCTCTGTTGTGATGATCGTGTCGAAGACTATTACGAGGCATAGAAATTACTTTACTAGTAGGTAACTTTTATACACAGCTCCCACGTCATTTTAAACACTGTGTATGCCTTATTTTTTTATATTTGCGACGAAAAGTTGCAAAATGAGCCTTTTAAATTGTTTATGTGTGTCTGTCTGTCTACGTGTAAGAAACTGAGAAACGAACGAATTTATATGAAGCGTTATATTAGTTTTACTACAATTTGTCGATAAATTTTAGTTTTGATTACATCGATTAACAATATGGGACAGTTTACACTTAATAGATGAACTGCATCTCGCATCTCGAGGGCAGCTCGCTAAATCTTTTATCAGATCGAACAATGTTTCTGACAGAAGAAGTAAAGAATAATGGAACACAGGTCTTAAGTCCAAAGCATTTTTTACGAAAGTCTTGCCTCTTCATTTTTGATTATTTGTGATTTATTTATGGCACTGTTGGTATATAAGAGGAAAACCTATGTACTATTAATCTTGGTGGTTCACAGATGGGAATCAAAATTGTTATACATGCCTTGTCATTATAAATCGAAGACACTCTTAATGAATTTGAAAAAATAATTGTTTTGAAGGCCGTTACTTGACCGAACAGCCTGTTTTAACCTGGCTATAAAAGTGCGACATCGCTTAGCAATCACGAATTTAAAATACAGAGCCAGGAATAACAGCGAGAATTTCAAAATTGTTACGTTTTGCTTACATTTTCTATCCTATTAAATTAAGAAACATCTATTTTCATGCACTGAATTAAGAACATTGAAATTTTGTGATAAATGTGCTGAACGGTACTCACGTGTTTAAAGCGAAGAATACCTTTTTGAAAACAGAAGTGTCTTTGGTACCCCGCACGTTCATTAACCCTCGAGCCAGAAATAAAAACAGCGATATATAACACTGGGACGGTGGAATTCATTCACCGTGATATACTGATGCTTTGCCTCTCTTCGCCACAGTATATCG